CGGTTGCCTGCTCGTAGGCGTAAACGTGCCACCTCTTCGCATGTCATGTTTTCCTGATACCAAACTGTAGAATCGAGCCAGAATTCCGAACATACCAAAAAGGTGGCCCTTTGAACTAGTCAACCTATACTTACAGAAACGTCGGTTCGGCGCAGAAGTGCACCTATTATGCGGCAACTTGTACTAGCCTGTTTGGCTATTCGGTTGCCATCTCGAAGTTGCTGCGAACCTTCGACCATATAGTACATGAACCGCTCAAGCTACTCTTCATACACTGAGCGGAGTGTAACAAACATAGCGATGCCAGATTTGGCTGCCAGCCGCGCATGCGCACTGGTTTTAGCGTCAATAAAATATCTAACACGACTATAAAACTGGCACCCTTAGTCGCCTCAAAAAAAAAAAAAAAAAAAAAAAAATTATAAATGAAATTTGAAAGTACTTCTTAGGATGCAATCATTTTAATTGTGTTGATATATTATAACATAGAGATGGTAGAGCCGCGGTAGCGAAGGCTACGCGCTAGGCGGTTGCATCAATGTCCTTTAATGCACGTCGAGTCACTTTAGTTAGCAGAGTCTCTTGATATGGTCGAGTAAAAAAAAATGCTGTCGGTGCAAAGGGTTAAATAAGTAGTATTCTTCGCATTCGCTGTGTTAAGCTTGAAAATGCTCCCGTTCGCAAAGGGTTAAACAAATCGGCAATCTTAGAGTACGTTCGAACTGTTCCTTTCTTTCCGATTGCTCGGTTTATTCGAGCCGTTCGAGCTTAGCTCGACTCGCTTTTCCAAGCTTTTCGACAGCACTAGTGCGGTGGTCTATTTGGATGCACCCCTAGATAATTTTAGAAATACTTTTGTATAGATTACAACATTGCATTATCACATTATTTATGAGTTTATACATTATTTAATAAAAATATAAATATTAATATGAGCACAAAGTACAAATAGTAATACATATTTATTATAATATCGAATTTTAGAGAGAGAAGGATAAATTGATGTAGTAAAAACCCAAATATTAATTATATACAGATGTTTAATGTGTAACTACATGTATCCATTTTGTTACTTGCAAAAAAGATGTACTCTAGTAAAATTATTTACAAATTTTAATTAATCTAAACATACAATTAATAAGAAAGGAAAAATACTATTTCCTATTTTTCAAGGATTATATACATGTAGAAAATTGTAAGACTATGTTTTTTAAAAATTGTGCTTTTTCAAGTATTTTCTTATCATCTATTACATGCTTTTTAAATTAGTTACTTATCAACTAAAAATCAGCTGCTAAGCTGCAATAATACTTTGTTAAAAGGTTTTAGTAATACTTGATAATTATATATATATTGTAGTAGCAATACGATTATATCAATGTTTTACTGCTTAATAACATTTGATGCAAGCATAATGTAAATTAAAAATTTTAATTTTTACAATACGTTTCATACGTTACATAAACAATAATCAAAATTTTCTATCTATAAGTAGTCGAAGTGTGAATACATTCAATACTCTACATTTTCATAAACATTTATTTTTCATTTATATTTCTATGTGCACTAACGAATAAAGAAAACAAAACAATTTGCAGTTCGTCGTTTCATATTATAATATACGAATAATCGGTTTTAAGTTACTAGATATCCAAAAATTGAAACATGGAATATAAATCGCGATAACATGCTACATAATTGTTTACACAAAAATTATTAACTATCATTCGCATGCTTTAAACGAAAATGATGAATTACAAATTTCAAAAACAGTAATATAATTTCTTTAGCATATAAAAGGATGCATAATTCTTACATCATATAATAATCTAACTTTTTATTAACGAAAACATTTGTTTCCAAGCTAAACTGTAAAATAGTTGAAAACATGGTGTACATTTTATAGAAGGCAAGCTTCGATAGTCCCTCATTTATTTAGAAATCCATGTTAATGGCACACTTTTTTATTATGCTAGTCAATAAAGTCGTTGCTGTGTTTCAATTAATGTATTTAGATTATGAAACTCGTTTTTAAAGGAAGACAATGTGTTTATGGGAACAATGATACTCAAGTCATTAATTCGTAATTTAAATATACATTTTAGAACATAACCAGTCCATATTTGAAATTTTGACGTTACATTAAATTTTAAAGATATCATAATATAAAAGGTTAAAATACAACAATATATACAAGATTGGAGAAGTTGTTTTCGTTTTACTTAGGACTATTATTGTCACATATTATCTATCTGTGGAGGTGTGCAAAATTTATATTGTTAGGTTTGTAAATAGAAATCATGATTTTACGAGATGTAAACATACTTCTATGTAAAAATCTTACATTAAATTGTTTCAGTTATGATAATGTATAAAAGTATAAAATGGTTTGTTTCTGATATTACGAGGTGAATATGAATTTGATTTCTATGGAGTGATATCAGTTGCTTGGACCTTCCTTAAACATGATCAGTGTGCTATAAGTTTTTAAACCCAGTTGCCTACATGTAAAATTAAAGAAATGTTCTTCAAAATCATAATAGTTGTTGCAGAAAATTTTATGTTGCATTTTCTATAAAAGTATGAAGAAAATGAAAGATTCTTGAAGTATAATAAAAATACTTTTTCTTAAGAAATGATGTTTAACTTGTGTAGTTGTTGAGATTAAATTTAACTAATCTACCAATTTAACATTGTTTATTTTGCATTATATCTAGTTGCTGCGTTTATTCAACATAACTGTTGGAGATCAGGTATACTTAGCACAATATCAATATTATACATAAACATACAAATGATACAATAAATATATATATACAATAATAGGTGTTGTAAGAAACTTATGAAAATTTTTATTTAAATATAGTTAATGTAAACACCAGTTAAATTTTTTAAGAAAGGTATATGTCAAACCGATATTCTGAGTTGCAATCCAATTAAACAACAAATTTATTTTCTTGTACTTCATACCAGGAAACGAATGTCATGTGAAATATACTTTTAAGCGTCTATTGCATGTTAAACATGACACATGAAAAAATTAAATTCTTTGATGAGTAGCAGCACACTTGTGATTATGATATTATATGCGTATGTATACATAGTTTGCAATCTTTGCTTCATTGATAAATTTCTTAAAAATCTTGTACTGATGACATAATACTAAACATTTCATTGATGACAATTGTATGTTTTCCATATGCTTAGAAAGATTACATTATATATGCAGTTAGTATTAGTAACAAGAGTATCAACTGCAACGAAGAGAACATATCTAGTAAAAAGGCAAACAAATATAAAAGTGTATGTAATTCTGAAGCTGCAAAACTTTAACATTTTCTAACATATGTCTCTCCTCGCATGCAAAAGAAATACTTGTATTTTGTAATTATTTCCGTCCCACTTATATTTATACCCCGCTTAAATAAGTTATAATCACTTGAAGTACGTAAAAATTTTATACAATACCAACATACTATGCTATATATTACATCAAGTATTCTTCAAAATGTAATGAAGTATGATTTCCATTTGAATTGAATAAGAAAGATATTGAAAATACTGTTACAGTAAGTTCTTGACTTGCATGGACATAATGTATTAAAAGGAGGAAAATTAAACTGAACCATTTATTTTTTTATGAGAGGAAAAAATAATGAAAAGAAAATCTCATTGATATGTAAATACATTTGCAAAATATATGAGGACACGAATGCAGGTACACTATACATTTCAAGGACTTACTGCACTTTAAACATTTAATTCGTCAATTGTTCGAAAAATTAAAGACATTTCTCAATATTCGTTTTTAAATGTAATGAAAGATTATGAAGATTAGGAAAAGATAATTGTAAATTTTAGATCTCTGTAAGAAGATTTGAATTGAAATACATGCATATCATTGCTTTTTGAAAGACGTACTTGTTAAGAATGACATTCATAGTGACAGTGTTAGTTTCATTGGCTCTGGCACTTCAATCCTATAATCACTGTAATCTGTTCTTTCAGACTAGAATTTTCAAGATGGTATATGCATTAGCTAAATTGCAAATTACAATAAGACTTTAATGTTATTCGACTAATTTATGATAGTGTGTATTTACACATTCGCATACAACTAAGATATAGTCTGAAATAATATGATTACAATTGGAGGAAACCTTTGAATCTGCCTTCTTTGAGACAAAGCATTAAATATATTTCATCAAATACTGATATAAAAAATTAAATATTGTTTTGCTTGTATTTATCTCACATATCTCTAATTACTTCATTTTATCATATTTACGTAAAATTTTGTTTATTTAAAAAAATAAAAAGATTTCAAGTATTTAACAGTTTCGTGATTATATGGAATAAAGTTATTAATATGCAATTTTTAAAGATAAGCTTCATACATCGTGTTGCTCGGTTGTTATTAATTGTAATTAGGACAAAAATTGTTAATAATAGTTCGCTGCCTCATTTAGTCATATTATATGTGACAACATATCACAACTATTTTATCACATAGCACCATTTCAAGTTACATATGGAGGGGAAAATACATTCTGCTAATTACTTAGAAAATAGTTTGAAGGTATTTAATCTATTTCACTGTATATATGTTTAGTTATTTCTTAGTGTTATTAATTAGAACTAAAGACTTTTAGCAGTTTATGACGATATTAAAGAATTATGCAAAAGGAAATTATAAAATTAAATATATTGGCACTCGAAGTATTTAATGAACTTAAGAATGATTACCATCGTATTATAATTGCGAGGCAGCACTTTAACAAAAAATGGAAACAAGTTGTATAATCTTCATTAATTTAACGATTTAAGTACAAATGCATTCTTGTAGTTTCAAGATGTAAATTAATGAGATGTATCAGAACGATATATCAATTTTTGTAACAAACATTTGAAAATGCTTTAAATTCATTACTCATGTAAATGTATATATCAAGTATCCTTAATCGGTCAGCGTAAATTATCGAGTCCTCCTTATTATAACGTAAATACCATGTGTAACTTTTCTCTTGTGGATATAGGAAGCAGCTTTTAGATATGTCACGCGTCGTATTTTGAGTAAATTAACGTACATTTGAATTGAAATCCATATCTCCCACAGAGAAATTCTCCAGCATGTTATTATCAGCATAAACAAGGTCTTAAATGTTTCCACGTTGACCGGTTAAAAACCATATTATTCGATTTTAATTCAATCATGTACATTGGAATAATAGTAAAAAAAAAATTATATCGTCATAGATATAAAATAGTTTAATTGATTTGTGATATATGCACCTCATTGGAATTTCTGGGCTCTGTTTAAAAAAATATCAAAATAATAACAAAATCAGGCAATTACGGTGAGATTATATCGCAAATCAGAGGAATACTTTTTTAATGTACAGGATAACATATGGAATGTTTCGTTGTTAGCCAAATTAGACAAATACTGTTACCATATCGACGAAAATAATTATAAATGACGCTAGCAACCTGAATAAATAAAAAAGAAATGATACAATTATTAGTTGACTCTCCCATTTACAATGGAAATACGAATCGAGAAAGTTGTATTATGCATAAAGAAACAGTGTAAAATTTATGTGTTCGAATCTATTAGTCTGTAGGACTGTTGATTGAAGACAGTAGAGGTACAAACTGTTCCAGAAGAAGTCCCACTATCTGTTGTAACGTTGCTTGTTTTTCTTCTAATGTGGCAACCTATTATGAGTAATTTTCATTTGTAAGTGTTGAATTGTTTTATACAGTTACCAGTACTTTATAGATATAAAGCACATGCAGTGATTTCCTTTCCATAAAATAAAATTATAATTATGTATAGAAGGAACACAACTATTTGAAGCGTGAAATTGCTATATAAATGTATTCTCTTAAAAAACTAAAAACTGTATATGAATGATAAATCTTAATATACCGAAAATAATTCGAGAAATATTATACTATGGTAAAAATTAATTGATGTTATATTGTTATGCTTACCCTTTCTAATAGTTGACTATAGAGAGCGTACGGAACGTAATCAGGGGTGCCAGAAGTAGGTAAACCTTGCTCTAGGTGTGGAGACGTATCAGATTTCGGACTTTTATCTTTTGTTTTAATTTCTTCACTCTTTGTTTTTAATTTGTTGATTAATTCCGTGGCAGTCAATGCTGTCAGTCTGTAACATGTATCAAATTAACGTAATATGTTAGTTAAAAAAATATCTGTTTTTTTGGTTTCCTGATAGAAGAAATAATTGAGATTAATATAAACTTACCGTGGATAACTGCGTTCTTTCTTAACTTCCGATTTATCAACGCGATCGATCGATCCTATTTTTCTCCTCTCTAGTTGATTTAATTTTAATTCTTCTACCTGTAAAAAATAATTTGTCACAAAATATATTTAATGTTTATGTCTCTGAAAAAATCACCCGCAACTTGTTAGCGTTACAAGGTCTGTGCGAAGATGAAATATATTAAATTACCCAAGGCGCTTTTCTTCTTGCTTTTGCAGCTAGTCCAGCTAGTTCAGTTTCTTCTTCGCGTAACTGTTCTAACGTAGTATCTGCATTCCCGTTTGCTAAGTTATCTTCCTATTGTAAATAAAAATCAAAATTACTTCACCTTAATATCTAGTATATATTTTTATATAGTATCTATCAGAGGAAATTAGTTGGAATCTTATAGCCAAGTGTCGGAGTATCATATATCAAAACGAAACAGCTCAAATTGATATTTAAGTAATACCACGAACACTAACCAATGTTATAGCGTTTGTGGTGGTGACTGTTGATCCAGTAGCATGATGTCGTAGATGTCGCGAAGACGGCGGACGTCGTCGGGGCGCTTTAGCTCGAGAAGCTGTTAAGTGAGAAAGTGGTGCTCCTTCTCCCCGTTCCACTCCATCCAACTCCTCGCCCAAAGCTGTATTGGTACTTCCATTATCATTGTTGGTTCCCACATCGCGTACAAGACGTTTTAAATTCGATATGATTAAATGTCCCCCTGATTTTCTATCTCCACTACTCCCACCAACTCCTGGAGAAGTCGATGTAGTCAAAGAAGGAGAGTTTGTTGATATGGTTTTCTTAGTTGTTTCTTTATATAACAAAAAATGACACCATTGACGTTAATTCTTACATTCGATTACTGTGGAATAAAATGATTGAATAAGACGCACTTATTCTACTTGTAAATAAATTAAGTACCTGAGTTTACGTTTCGTATATCCAAGCTTTTTCTGACATGTGCTTTTTTACTTTTCTTTACCCGATCGGTATGTTTAGTAAGCGATTTTACAGATGACTCGTATCTTTGTTCGTGATCTGTGTGATCAGTTCCAGAATTTATTATTTCAACAAAATTATCGGGGAATAAGCCCACTTGGCCTTTTAACTCTCCTAACCACCAACCCTAAAAATTACTTAATATTTATTTAACATAGATTATTTCTTTTTAAGTTTTTATGTCATACATGCATGAATAAAAATTTATATATTTAAGAATACTGTAATCGCGCACATAATCTATACCTCATCGGGAACGTCCCTAGAAAGAAGAGTTATTATATCTCCTTCGCTCAACGTTAATTCGTCTTCGTTAGCTGCCTCGTAAGAAAAGAGTACTTTACACGTTTCTTTTTTATCTTGATCTTTGTGTTTATCAGACTCTTCATAAACAGGAGGAGATACAAAATTTGAGGGGAAAACTCCTACTCTGCCTTTAAGTCTACCCCTCCACCATCCGTCTTCTACTTCACCCAAAAATTCTATCGAATCTTGAGGTATCAATGTTAACTCATCTTCGTTGCAAGGCTCATAACTAAAAACAACTTTACAAAATCGTCTTCTAGAGCCTCCATTTCTCAAGGTAACTTCTTCAGGCTTAGCGCTATTAACTACTTCACATCCTCCACTTCCTGTACTTCCACTTGACAAAGGTTCTAATACCTAAAATTTAAGTAATAAAATTGAATAAATGTTCTGTTATTCTGTAATATTATTACTGTTGTTATAAATATTGTTACTGTGCAATGAAAAATCTCAAATTAAACTTCCTAGAACAATTTTAAATTTATTTTCTTTTTAAATGTTGTGACCTTTTTGAAAGGTAATGATCGGGGAAACTAAAATGTTCTAATAATACTGTTGGTAAAAGATAAAATATATAAAGATAAACAAGAAAATAAGAACATGTAGAGGCTGTACTTATGTTTAAAGAGATGACACAACTAACTTCTATTATTGAAATAATTATTTTGCTATTCTCTATTTATTAAAATGTAAAAGATATTAATTTTATAGAAATAAACAAAAATTACCTTGACAAAATTATCAGGAAACATGCCACGTTTGTCTCTTAAAGTACCTTCCCACCAACCACCTAGCATTTTTTTAATATCTGTGATAATGTCTCCTTTCTTTAAAGTTAATTCATCAGGCTCTTGTGCTTCGTAATTAAATTCTACAATTGCCTCCATTTTTTTATTCTAAGAATGGGTCAAATCTTTTATTACATAAATATCACAATCTTGTATCTGTAACAAATACATAGACTTTCATTAACAAGGGGACCACGCAATATGTTATACATGAATTTTAATGAAACTTTGTAGATAGATAAAAAACCAAAACATATTTGAGTTCTATTTGTCCAATTAGTTAGATACTCTGGCAAAAACAATGATGATATAAATTGCCATAAAATATACTTCTAATATACAACCCTATACAAATAATTGATGTACAAATATCAATTATACTTATATATATATATATATAAATTTTCAACATAGATGTCAATCTCTTTTTCGATCAACATCAAGTTTATCTTAAAGATTATTCAACATTGAAACAGATATTCTATTCGCCATGACCATTTTGTTCGAAAGACTAACAATGTTTCAAATGTTTGTAGAATTGGATGGTAAATTATGATCATTATTGTTTAATACTTTGTAAACTAGCTAGTGTTTGAGTAAAGGACTGAAAAAGAGGTCAAATATTTGTCAGTTTTCTATTTACCTACGAAGTCTCGTTAAATCGACGTGTAACGTATAATGCGATCCTCTTGCAAAAGCACAAATAATGATAACTGAATGTACACAAACGAACGAATAGAATATATAAATGAGTAATAGAGATGTTAGAGGTTCTATATTAAAACTACTTTCATCAAATAAAAATAATGTAGGAAAATCTATCACGTAGACAATACAATATGACACCTTTAATCGTTTTCTTTGTAGCGAATTCTCGTTTCCGACGAACGAGTTACTCTCCGTGAAAACACAGACTGAACACAAAACGTAGCATACGTATGAATTAAGATAAGAAGCGCGTCCGTAAAAGTCATTTGTCCCTCGTGCATCCTCTACCTTTCGCACCACTGCACCAACTTATTATGTTCATTTTAATATAAACGTCTAAAAGATGCGACGGTTAAAAGGTGATAATTTAGGCGTATCCCACATTCAGTTAACAGTTCGGTCTATCTGTCATCGGGGCCATCTTGGACTCGAAACTCGAGTGAACTTCAAGATGCAATCAGTGACTCAAAGGAACGCGCCAAACTGATTCATTCACAGTATATAAAATCATTTAATGAATACTATTTCGAAACACGTTTAAAGATGACATAAACACGCGAGTGATTCACGAAAGATAATCAACCGTCGATTAAATTGTGATTTCTACTTTGTACACGCGTTTATTATCGATCTAGTTCATTTCTGAAAGATGTAGGTTACCTACCAACAGTTGTTGCACTTCCTATATCGAAAGTTGGTATCCATCTGAAAGTAATAAACCATACGATCCGTTGTTCATTTTCAAGCCGCTGATTCATTCTAACCGGCTGTCTCTTATCATAAGGAACCTCACGTATCAGATATGCGCAGAGCATACAAAGTTTTTTCGTGTGCTAAAGTATGCCCGATGAGGTAATTTCATAAAATGTTAGACACCCGCATCCCCTGGTGTACCTGTTAAGAAATTCGATTGGTAAAGTACAATGTACAGTTAGATCGCACTAACTCGAAGTTGAAAGGAAATAAAGGAACATGTACGGAACAATAGAGCAATGACGACTTACAGGTGTACCTAAGAAAGACCAGCACAGTTAGTATTCTTAATATATTATCTATCAGGAGTCTATAGGTGCTTTCCAATTGCTAAACACATCTTGACATATATGTACAGAAGAATGCACAAAGAGTAGCGTTCTACATGACTCGATTAGAACGAAATTATGTTTATAATGTTAGATTATTTTTCAATACTATGCCATTTATGTCAATACCTTAGCATTTTTTAATTCACCGTAAAAATTGTCTATCATCTGCAATGTTGAAGTTTTTAATCAGCGTATTTTTTAGTTTCTTAATTAGTATTTATGATTGTGTAAAGGAAAGCGTTATATTTAAAAAACGATTTGCGCATTGAAGTAAATAAAATAAAAGAAGTATTTTACATTTTATTTTCAATGTATGTGTGTAGAAGATATGAGTAATTTATTAATAATATATAAGATTTTGTAGCGAAACCTATCTATACTATTTAATTACTTGTTTCATAGATATAATATTAAAAATAGCACATATAAAATGTCACAATCAGGCATGTAAATAATATAATTATAGCAATTATTATTGATTTGCCGTCTAGCTCTGCTAATATTAGTTCAAGTTCAAAAAACTCGAATGCTACCTAATATAATATAAGTATTTCATAATATTACTAAATTTTAACTACCTGTCACTAGAAAACGCAAATTTACACAGCCTTCCTTAACACATTACTTACCGGCAGACATTATTAGTCTTGATACTGCCACTGTTTATCGACCGATAAGCTAAAATGTTTCATTGATTATGGTTATCGACCGGTAATCTGAAATACTTTATTGACTATGGTGATTATAGACCGGTAGACTACAACTAGCTTCTTCTTAAATCCGATAAGAGCGATAGTACAAAAATCGTTATTTATTGAAAAACGTACAATTAAATAAAAAATGACATAATTTGATCAGGAAAAATCGTACAGACTTTTTTCTTTCAAATTGCATAGGAAAATGTCCATTTTGCGATGGTTTGTGTATCATTTTCGAAAAAAAATCAGTACGATAATGGAAAACATTTGAGTTTAGAGGAAATTGGCAAAATTAAGGTTTTTAGATCCTTGATTGCTTTACAAACAATCGTACAAATGCATTAGATTGTCCAATCCTTTCGCTCGATATCAATTCGAAAAGTTTACGAATCTCGGAAGGAATATAATCGATAGATAATTTAAAAGTAACCGTGTACTTGTTTTGGTCGCAGATTCTATAAGAAATAATAAAGAGTTTACATAATACTTAAACGAAACAAATTTTTGAACTAACACATGTAAATGACAGAAACACATATTATTAAGTTTGTACAGTTTTAATAGAATACAGCCATGATAAATAAATATCACAATTCATTAATTATGACTAAGTTTTTACCCCGAAGTTAATTAGTTGTCGCAGCATATATACCCATACAATGAGGAAAATATTGTAAAAATTCGTGTAAGTGCAATAATAAATTCAGCCTATCACCATCTTAGAGGTAAGTGTATGTCAAATTAAAGTATAATATGACTATCGAAATAGCTATTACATTTGATGGTATTCTTAATTTATTTTATAAATTATATTTGAGTGAGATCACACAGTTGTCGTGTCATATAGGTGGTGAGGGGAATCTTTTACGAAGAAGAAAAAGTTACACCGTCGATGGTAGATAATTTTGGTACAGGTTTTGTAGAAACAATGATGTCAGGTATAATTAATTTTACGCGAAATCAAACTTCATAGGGATTTTGTTTTTTTACAAGTTGGAACATTTTAAGATAACAAAAATTCCAAAGTCAAAAAATAAGGACCACCCTAATATATATATATACATATACATAATAGCTACATCTACAATTAAATTCGCCAGATGTGCTCGTAGTGATTATCAAAGCGCACTAATCGATAACGATATCGCGTGATTCTCACCCACGATATCTTTGACATACAGAAATTGTAAACATTATCGTCATAGAAAAGATATTTCGTGTTTTTGGTATAAGCAGGATTGGGCAGTGTTTAGCTTGCGATTACTTTCCTAACGATCACTCGCAATTGTCAGATTAATCAGCAATAGCCGACTACATTTGTAATCTGCAACTATAAATTAGCATCTTGTAATCTACCAGAGCTAATCGTATCTGATTATTCGTTAACCTTTTGAGTTATAGCGATAAGTGTGTTTGCCATCTCTTTCCGTACAATTTTTAATTATTTCACGCATTTCTTGACATTGAGCACCATATTTTTATTTACTTTCGTAGAGTCCCCATAAATAATGCAGAGAAAGTAGACAACCTTACATATTCATTTACTTAATTACAGTAAATAAATATATGTATAACAGAAATTTGTATTTTCTAAAAAAAAAAAAATGGAAATTTTCTATTAAATTATTATTGATATTAAAATGACAATGTAGGCGCATATCAGAGACATTCGAAAGAATTATTCCGAATATTCCACTTTTTCTCGTTCACATTATTATAAATTAATAATTATCGAAGAATATAGAAAATCAATTTTTAACTAAATCATTATTAATATTTAAATTGCAATTTAGGCACGTATTTGAGGCACAAGAAATTATTTTTCAGAATATTTTAGATTTGTTAGGTGCGTTATTTTATCATTCTAAATTAATAATAATAATAATAGTCGAAGAATATAGAATAACAAATATATAGTTACATTGGCTCGATCATTTCGAATTTTTAAAATCTGATGAATATAAAGACATAAAAAATTCGTGACTCAAACGATTAATTAATCAAGTTCCCCAACCGGATTGCTCGGTAATCATAATTACGAATTACAGTTTGCTCAACTCAGGTTTCAAGGAATTGTACGTTCAGCAAGTATGGTGTTCGGCAACCCTTATCGGACGCTAGTGTTATATATACATCTTATCGGTGAGTCGTAGTTTCATTTGGTATTTATTTGATAGGTGTTTCGTATATATAATTACATCATGGCAAAACACTTGATATTTTTAAAAAACATTTATGTTATTTTCTAATTCACTCTGAACGTTTACGTTATTTCAGATCTATCAACTTTAAAACTCATACGCTAAAATTGCAATATCACATCAGAAGTGCAATCGGACCGATAAGAGTTGATATTTGATATACACCAGGCCTGTTCAACTGAACTATTGTAAAGTCATTAATAGACTGCGGATCTTTATGCAAAATAAAATCTTTCCAAACGTATGTACAAAAATTGAACCTAAATAGGAAGTTATTGTAATCTGAAAATATTATAATATGAACATCCAATATCATTCAACAAATAGATACATACTTCGTAAAATCTAGCTATAAATGATTTAACTTATTCTGATTAACAGTTTCATACCCCATTTCTTTTTTACACTTGTCTCTTTAGCTTTGCAATTAACGAACATATCAATTAAATATTCTAAGAATTAATATAAGACTCTATCACCCTCTTTAAGTCTACAACTCTATCCCTCTCTCGTTAATATATTCAATGTAACAAGTTGAGCAGGTCTGATATACACAGCCAGAAGAAAATAATCGCATATTAATGGATTTGTAAATTCATTTATAAATTCATTAAAATAATCTTTATAATCGATGTCTGTATGTCAAACGATTTCGATGTAACTGCAAATCACGCACGTTCCTCCGACGCTGGAAAAGCGATGGTCCTCGGTTAATAGTGTTGGCAATATACTCGTTACTTTTGCACGTATGCCGTTTCATGACGGTAATCACAATGCGCTGGATGAAATTTGTGCGTATTTCCCACGTAAATGAGATACATGTTCCAAGCAGGAAAACGAAGCCATATTAATAGCACGAACAGTTTCCTTTTAGGCCTTACGTGAACATTAAGCGAGTCTAGGAAAATGTTTGTACTGCTCGAGGTATCCAATCAATGTGTTTCATTTTCGATTTCTATTGATAAACGTTAACCGTGGAAAATCAATATGGATTGATCAATCGCACGAATAAATATTGAACAACGTACCAGGATTTTACTCATTTCTAGGCGCTGCGATTATTTCAGCGCGCGGTGAGCAAAGAAACTAATGGCGCCACAACAAAATACATTCGCATCACAGTGGCGCCACAAAGAAATACAGTCACGTCACAGTGGTGCCACAAAGAAATATATTCGCAACACAGTGGCGCCACAAAGAAATATATTCGCGACACAGTGGCGCCAC